CGTTAATTCTGCTTTCGGTGTGCCATAGTATAACAATACTGGATTTATTTACCTTTTACTGCAATTTCACCCATAATATGAAAAACACTAATGAAAAACTACATATCGCGAATATTGCGTTTTTCACGGAGTATGACGCCACTTCACGAAGAACGGGCGAAACTCCACTGCTTTCAGCATTTACTATAATCAGTAGGATAGTTCAGCAGTCCTAACCTGTTTTCAGATCTCGTTCTCAAACTGCATTCATCGGGAAGAGTTGATATATATCGCAACTTGATATTTTCAAGTCCAGTTCCCAGTTTCACAACTGTTAATGATTTACCTATTGGGATAACACTTCACTGGATATAATAGCAGGGGAATGCCGTAAACCGCAGCTTGATGATACTTGATCAATGTGGAAAATATTCACCATAAGCTCAGCTAAGGGATTCCTTCACCCGAGAAAGACACATTATGTTGGGACAGCGATCGTTGACGATGCACCAGCATCTCCCAGAACGATTCATAATTGGAACACCGAGCCAATTCTTGCCTACTGAAGTAAGACCGACCCAGGCGCAAATTCACGACGCGAATTCAAAACTCAACAGCTGGGCATAAAGAATCATCTTAATCAGATCCTCAGCGTTACGATCGCATGTGACATCAGACTCTGACCATCGAAGGTCTGATGATCATACCTTTACATTCACAATAAATGAATCGAATAAATAAATGATCTATCGAGCAAGGGAGAGGCCATCGAGCTAGACGAGAGTTCACTGAACAAGTTAGCAATGACTCGGTGTCATTGACTCCACCATGACACGAAGTCAGGGCGAAAAATTAAACCTTCTTTCTTTCAAGTATCTTATTGACAGCTGCCGCAGCATTCACGCGGCCGAAGGGAAGGGTCTTTTCCCCTTTACTGTCCTTGACACCTTGGGTGGCCGTATCCTTGATGATACTTTTGATGTAAGTAGGGGTCAGCTTAGCCTTCAGAGAAGGTTCAAGGCTGTAGAGCATCCCAGCTATACCTGCTACAATAGCGGCGGCAGCCGAAGTGCCCTTAGCTGTGGCATACTTCCCTCTGAGATCAGTTGTAACTATTTCGTTACCTGGGAGCGGCAATGTCAACAGCTAAACCGAAATTGCTATCGTCCGTAAGCTGCATTTTGGTACATACGTTGCAGCTACACATAACACTCCATCAGTGGGAGAACGGCCGAATGAACAAGGGAAGTCTGGAGTTATGTCCAAATCGAAGTGGTGATTCCCTGCCGCGACGACAACGAGCATGCCAGCTGCAGTTGCT